TAATTTGCTGGGGCTGCCATAACAAAATACCACAGATGGTGTGCCTTAAAGAACAGAAATAATTCTGAGAGGCTGGGAGTCCAAGACCAAGGTGACAGTAGGGTTGTTTCTCCTGCAGCTCTCTTTTGGAATTGTAGACAGTTGCCCACTCCTTATGTCTTCCCATGGTCAACCCTCCATGTGTGTCTGTGTCCTAACATCTGCTACTCATGAGGACAGCAGTTACACCGGATTAGGGCCCATCTTAATGACCTCATTTTAGTTACCTTTTTAAAGACTCTATTTCCAAATACAGTTACATTCTGAAGTACTGGGAGTCAGCACTTCAACATATGAATTTTGAAAGGGGACATGACTCAGCCCATAGCTTACAGTCAATTTTTTTTATATATGGACATTCAATTGACCTAGTACATTTATTGAAAATAATGTTTCTCCTCTATGATTTTGGTACCAAATTAACCAGAAATTAAGTATTCATATGCATGTGAATCTGTTTCTACACTTCCTCTGCTGTTAGTCTCTTTAATTCTTATGCCAACAATACAAATTAGTAAATATGTAGGATAAGCAAGTGAAAAGATCTAACCTACATGAGGACAATTGTTAATACTAGTGTATCACATTCAGAAATTTTGCTAAATGAGTACACTATAGTTGCTCTTGCAACAGAGGGGAGAATGGGCAACTCTGTGAGATGATAGATATGTTAATTTGTTCCACTATAGTAACCATTTTACTATATATATATATATTTTATAATATCATGTTGTATACCTTCAACATACACAATACAAATTTAAAAAAATACTGTTTTAATTACTGTAGTTTAATTATAAGTCTTGATATTCACGGAGCAAAACCTTTTGACTTATCCTTCTTCTTTAAGAGTGTCTTGGATAATCTTGGCGCTCCCCATGTCTATGTAAATTTTTTTCAAGTCCCTTTCTCCCACAAAAAATCCTTATTAGCATTGGACTGGGAGGGAATTGATAATTAACTTCATAGA